GCCACTCCGATTCCCTGATTTCTAATAGTATTAAAAAAAAAAGTGGGGAAATGGTTACAAGCAGAAGCTGGATTATCATGATCTGAAGATTTGCAATCAGAGAGTTTTAGCAAGGATCAATTAAAACAAAAATCAACTGCTTAATTAAATTTTAAAATCTGGTGACACCTAGCTTAACGCATTTATTTTTTTTTCTATTGAGGAAACATCTCTTTAATGTCAACAATGTCCCAAGTTCACACAGGTTAGTAGCACGACTGTCACCTTTCTAGTTGTGGACTTGGCTAGGTCATAGCCCCGGACCACAGCTGTGTTCTACCGAAGTCCCACCGACTGTGGGATGGTGCTGTGACCCCAGTACACCTGCGGGCCTCCCTGGAGCTGCGCTGTCTGCCTGCTCTCCTGTGTCATTTAAGTTCTTCTGCCCTCTGCTCTTCTTTTACCCCAGTTCCACCCTCTCCCCACTGCCTTTCGACAAAGAGCACCTAAGTTCTAAAAGGTGACCCTAAACATTACTTTTAAGATTTATTTATGGGCCCGGCGCAGTGGCGCAGTGGTTAAGGTCCTCGCCTTGCACGCCCGGGATCCCATATGGGTGCCGGTTCTATCCAGGCAGCCCTGCTTCCCTTCCAGCTCCCTGCCTGTGGCCCGGGAAAGCAGTCAAGGATGGCCCAAGGCTTTGGGACCCTGCACCTGCATGGGAGACCTAGAAGAGGCTCCTGGCTTTGGATTGGCACAGTATCGGCCGTTGTGCTCACTTGGGGAGTGAATCATCGGAGGGAAGATCTTCCTCTCTGTCTCTCCTCCTCTCTGTATATCCGCCTTTCCAATAAATAATAAAAATAAATCTTTTTAAAAAAATTTATTTATTTATTTAAAAGCAAAATTACAAAGGGAGACAGAGAAAAGAGAGAGGGAGGGAGAGAAGAGACGGGGTCACTTTCACTGATTAATTCTGCACACGACTGCAGTAGCCAAGCCTGGGGCCAGGTGAAGTCATGAGGCGAGAGCTTCATCCAGGTCTCCCACGTGGGTGGCAGGTGCCCAAGCACTCGGGCCATCTTCTTCTGCTTTTCCAGAACATTAACAGGGAATTACATGTGAAGTGGATCACCCGGGACTCCTTATATGCCACAGTACCAGCCTCCAGATTTCTTTATACCTTCTGAGGATATTTCTGCCACTGAAAAGAGATTATAGATCATGTATCTAGTGAATGTCATTTCAAAGCCAGTTTCACAAGGGGGCACCTATTCATTACACGTAGTCTTTTAACTTTTTTAAAAATGATATTCATTGCACAGTTACAGTTAGTTGCTCTTTAGAATATTCCAGATTGTTTGGCTTTTGAATTTGGAAAAGCAGAGCATGAGGTCATCTAGCATTCAGATCACTCACCTGACATATCTTTCATTTGGATATGGATTAAAACGTCTTTCTGGTACCCTGACCTGCCCGAAGTGTAAGTAGCGGATGGGCTGTGCAATGGCATGGCCTCCTCCCTCCTGTAAAATCTGTTCAGTGCTGCCACAATGTGTGTTTGTTTACATCATTGCATATATAAGCAGTATCAATGTTCCCTTTTTATCATGCATGGTTTTACCTGTTGCAGGAGTCGCCTGGTGCCCGACCGTACCTTGTCAGAACTGACTCCAGCCAGTCTTTCTTGCGACACAACAGTCACACTGTTTTGACTCTTTTCACACTGTTTTGATTGTAGTGTATTTTCACAATACACTACAGTCCTTGCAGCTAAATTACCTGCGTGGAAAACCACAAATCCACATTGATTGATAAGAAGGCTACAAAAAGCGACTTAGCCATACTCACAAATGTTGTTTTCCTCTGCTAATACAGATTTTGCAAAATATTCTTGGAAACCGAGGTAGATAAATATCGTTTATCTCGGATCTTACCAAATACACAGCTTTGGCTGCCTAATGTGTTATTTGTAGAAGGAAGGAAGACATTGAAACCCTAAAAGCACCATATGTAGGAGACATTTAAAAACATTTGCCCAAGCAATCTAACAGTGCAGTGTTAGAAGTTTCTAAGTCTGTCCTTAGAAAATGAATTTTTAAAAAAGATTTATTGATTTTTACTTGAAAGAGTTACAGAGAGAGGGGGGGAGGGAGAGACAGAAAGATATCTTTCATCGGCTGGTTCATTGTCAGAATGGCTGCAATGACCAGGCCTGGTTGGGACCAAAGCTGGGAGCCAGGAGCTGCTGCTGTGCCGCCCACGTGAGAGCAGGGGCCTAAGGCTGTGAGCCAGCCTCCCCTGGCTTCCCAGGCCATTGGCAGGGAGCCGGATCAGAGGATCAGAAATAGAGCAACCAAGGCTAGAAGCAGTACCTGCACAGGACGGGGCACTGCGAGCAGGAGATTAACTTGTTGTGTCATCTTGAGGACTCCAGGAAGTGAGTTTTTAGAACTCTGAGATGACAATTCATTAAACTATTATATTCCATGAAAGCTAAGAGTGTACAAACTGTAGCTCTTAGAAAAAATATGTGTAGCTCTTTAAAAAATATATATTTATTTATTTATAATTCAGATTTACAAAGAGGAAGAGAGACAGAAAGATCTTCCAGGTAGCCGCAACAGCTGGAGCTGAGCCAATCTGAAGCCAGGAGCCAGGAGCTTCTTCTGGTCTCCCATGTGGGTGCAGGATCCCAAGGCTTTGGGCTATCCTCGACTGCTTTCCCAGGCCACTGGCAGAGATCCAGAAGGGAAATGAGCAGCCGGGATATGAACCGACACCCATATGGGATCCCGGCACATGCAAAGCAAGGACTTTAGCCACCAGGCTACTGCGTCAGACCGATACGTGGTGTTTTTATAAGTGAAATTGTATTGGAATCTAGCAACACTCCCAGTGATACTGTCTGGAGTGAAGTGTGTAGCTGAACGATTAGGATGCTATTACATCCCAAGACAGACTGCGTGGCCTTGATTGCTGGCTCCAAGTCCTGTCAGCAGCTTACTCCATTGTAGCAACGCTGATGGCTCAGTAATTGGGTTCCTGTCCTCCAGGCTCTGGCCTCCGCCCACCCCTGTCTGTTGTCTGCATTTGGGTTGTGAACCCAGCTGCAGTAATGCATTTCTCATACTTTCTGCCTCTCAGATGGAAAAAAAATTAAAAACATATATGTTGTCTATAACTGTTTCCATGAGACAGTTGCCGAGTTGCCTAATTACAACCTGAGGCTGTGTGTAGCCCTCAAAGTTGAAATATTTACTGTTTAGCCTTTCCAGAAAAAAAAAATTAGTGACCTTAATCCAAGTTGAATTGTCAAGTATTGTTAAATGCATCATTACTTTATGTAGCACTAACAAAGAAAAAATGAAGATGTTAAATTATGAAAAAACTTACTTGGAGTCAGTACATTATTTTATGTGTGTGTGTGTGTGTATACGCAAACATATGTATATAGTGTTTTAATGCGTTACGTTGTATGTGGCACAAGACGTAAGTCTCAAATGCTTATGGTTGACTAAATAGAGGGGTGGAATAGTTTGTGAAGGACTCGTTTGATCTTGAAAGCTGCCCAGCAGAGGTTGGCATTTGGCAAGGGGGGAAGGTGCTGCTTGTGTTGTCCACACCCCTCCCCTGCAGCAGGCCTGGCTCAGGTCTCTGCTGCCAATTCCAATTTCCTGAAATGCCCTGCCATCGGGCAGCAGGTGGTAGCTCAGATCCCGGGATGGCAGTCATGCAAGCGGGATACCCAGATCACATTCCAGGTTCTTGGCTCTGTCCTGGCCTAGTCCCCAGCTACTGTAGGCATTTAATGGGAGACAGGAGATTTCCATCTTTCTCACTGTCTCTCTTTTTTTAAAAAAATAAAAATACTACATTTTTTGGTGTGAGTATATGTGCATACAGGTAAACAAAATTCCAAAGAATTCGACAGATCTAGGAAAAGTGGTGATAATGGTTTCCCTTGGGATGATGAAAGGACCAACATGGTGGTGGAAACGAGTGGGCAGCTTTGTCTTTCTCTGCATTGTTCGGTTCTGTAAAAACAAATGATATGCTAGTAAAAAGCGGTGTATTACAGCGTAAAAACATGAAAAGCCTGGAAGGAGACATGTCAGAATATTAACAGTGGCAAATTTCTTTATGGATGAAATCTGTGAGATGACTTTTTCTAATCATATTTCAGTGTAATTTTAAAGATTTTTATGGTTGACAGAAAAAGGGATGAGTCATACTCTTCATTTCTGTCTCAATCAAAAGAGATTAAAGTTTGGAAAAGCACATATTAATCAATGACCTGACATTACTACCTAATCCTGTTTTTCAACCGCGGCATTAAACTTAAACAACAAGCAAGCCAGGGCCAAATCTCATAGCTGAAACTTTTTTTTTTTTTTATAATAGTGGAACAGCTAATCTTTAAATACAATGCACTTTATCCCTACCATGAAAAATCACCAGCTCCAAAAGTTAAATGTCAGGTGCACCTTAGCAAACAGAAATAGCTTGTCGTGAGTCATGTTATTGATGTACTGATGTCATTTCTTTCGGCCTGACCTCACTTGTTTTGAAACCTACATTGTGATTTTACACGGTTTTGTATGTTGTGGCATGCAGCTCAAACCCTGCAGTGACTTATTAAACTCACTCATTTTGTCATGAGTCAATAACAGGGCTTCCTAAAAATATCTCTATAAAAATGTTCAGAAGTTCAAAACTTTGAGGTTTGGATTTACTCCTACCTGATTGCCCCTTCTGGTGGTGGGAATTGTAATGGTGATGGTGGTGGTGGTTTTAAGCGTGTCTCTTACTCCCTGAGAGTGTTTCACCAGAAATAAGCCATGCTGCCTGCCTTTTGGCCTTAAAGATAGATGCGTCCAAGACAGTGATGGCAGGAAGTGTGGTCCTTGACTCTGGGCGCTGGAGACTCTGGGAGCAGGCAGGTGCTCAGGCCTCCGGGCCCACACTGCAGTCACAGTGCCCTGCTTCTCACCACACACTTGCGTTCTCTCTTCTTCCAGTTCAATCTCACCGTTTAGTATTGAGAGCACAAGGCGCCAGAGACGATCCGAATCGCCAGACTCCAGAAAGCGGCGTATCCACAGATGTGATTTTGAGGGATGCAACAAAGTGTATACAAAAAGTTCTCACCTGAAGGCTCATCGGAGGACACACACAGGTACAGCTCTGAGGGGCTCACAGAAGGGTCAGTCGATGTTCAAAAAGGATCACCCACTGGCCTCCATCCAGTGCCATTGATCGGCCAGAAAAGGCAGTTTGTACTCACCTGTCATATGAATGTCTTCAAACAGTTCCTCGTAAATGCAGGGATCATGAAAGATCTGTGAATGGACTTCAGATTTTTTTTTTTTGCACCAGATCATCTATTAATACTTTTTTCCACAAATATTTTGAAGTGTCTTCATACATTCCAAATTTCACTTATTTCTTCTAAATATAATGCATTCTCTCTCTCTCTCTTTCTCTTTCTGTTAAAAAAAAAAGGCTTAAGTCTTCATGAATTGTAGGATCGAACCAGGTGTTTCTTCTGTGATGTGTGGGCTTTCCACATGCAGTGAACGAAGCAGTTTGATTTCTAATCACCATCGCCCTTTAATCACTACATGGTGTATCATGTTTAAGAATGTTTACATTGGAGACAGGCATTTCACCTGGCAGTTAAGTTGCCCTCCTTGTCCCTTATCGGAGGGCCTGGTTTGAGAGTCCTAACACCATTTTTATTGTAACTTCCTGCTGATGCAGATCCTGGGAGGCAGCAGGTGGTGGTGTGGCTGCTTGCATCCATGCCACATGGGAGAGCCAGACTGAGTCCCTAACCAGTGGGGAGTAGACCATGGGATGAGATCTCTCTCTCTCACTATCTATATACATTTATATCTCACTCTCAAATAAAAATATTTAAAATCCACTTGGTATATCAAACAAGAAGCTGAACAAAAACTTTCCCCTGACGTTGGCATCATACCCGTTCCTACCTTTAGGTCTGTTTTCACTCTTCATGCCTCTCCTCTTAATTAGCAAACTAAGCAATAAAAATAAAACTGGTATAAACAGTCTAGTAGGAAATATTTGAAAATATTTTCACACATTTCTGTTTGCTTCTCTCTCTCTCTTTTTTTTTTCTTTTTGCATAGTAGGAAGAGGATTTTTAGTAGTCATAGTTTACCAAGAAGGAAGTAAAGGATTCGCTGACTGTGCTGTCATCTCCCCTTCTCCCCACTTGCCCACCACCCACTCACAGAGTCACTGAAGTGATGACTCACTTGCCCCACCCCTACCCCAGCATCTGCCTGGGCTGCCTCTCAGCCAGCAACGCTTGTCTGGGCTCCTGGGTTCTGCTGAGAGCTGACGGCAAGAGGCACTGGCCGGACACAGTATGTGGGAGATGGACCCACCATCAAATTGTCTTTTCTAGGCAAAGTGACTGGTGACCTCAGTGGGTGAGTCTCACAGAAACAGAACAGGGAAAGCTCACCCAGGTTCCAGGCAAGGCTTGCCAGGAAGCAAGCCAGCCCAAGCCAGCGTCCAGCAGAGGGGTCAGACCTCAACATCTGCCTCTCACTGACAACCTCCAGGGTTAAGATTCCTGTGTGAGTAGTACTGCCATGTCAGCCACAGTACGAGAACCACATTAGGTAAGCCATGTCTGGCTTAGCTAGCAAAATAATTTAAAGCTGCCACTTTTGCCATTTGTTAGCCTATTACGGGTTGGGACTACGTCCAGAGTTGTGTTACAATGCCAAGACGCTAAACCTTGAGCCCAGACTTCGTTGTTTTACAATGAATTTCTGCTGTAGGGGCTTGCCTGAAGTCATAGAAGCATTAGCTCTGGAGTGTTTGTTTGCTCATGTAACAAGATATGCTTTGATACTTCTAAGATGGTCAGTTCAACACACTTTTCCTCTGTTCCATTCCTTATCCCCCGTTCCACTCCATTCCAGCCCCTTCCCTCTCTATTCACTGTGGTTTCCTTCTGAAAATTTTCATCTGTTTTTTTAGGCACTACTTTTAAATCTGTTTCTTTCGGATTAAGGCCAAGAATGAGCGTAAAGACGTAAATTGAATAAGCTTGTCTCATTGTGTTAGTAGAGAATACAAATCAAAGCAGGAAGTATGATCAAGCCATGTGATAAACATCTGGGCATTTCTGTTTAGAAAGAAATGGCCTTTACTTCAAAGGATCATCAGGTATTTTGAGTTATTCCTCTTCTCTCTGCACTCTGGGGAATATGTATTAGCCTCATTGCCTCACAGACATCTCTATTCTGCGTTTCCAAGTAATAGAAAGTAAAAGGATGATTTTAGCATACCTTAGAAGAGCTGAGAAGACATTGTTTATAAGTGATGGTTCAAACAGTATAACCTTCAACACTGGAACAGAATGAATGAGCTTGGCTTATTCAGTGCAATCACAGAATCTGAGCATGAGAACAGACTTCTGGTATCCTAGCATCCACCGTGTTTTCTGTCTAGGCGAACCCCTTGCTGTCATCTCTCACAGAGGGCAAGTCAGTGCTGTGCTGGTTTCTGTACACTTGTGGGCACTTAGTTTTATTTGATCCTCACAAAAACCTGCAGGGTACAGCTGCTGGGATTTTGTCTGGACCAGCTCTGAGTCCTGGCTGAGTTAGGGTCCATAACACAAGTCTTTCCTTCTCTCTTCACACCCTTGGAGTGACACCATGCACTCCTGCAAGGTGATTGGGTGAAATCTGAGAGCAGAGCCATCATCTCTGACAGTGTTGACACCCACATTCCTGCCTTCCTGTCTTTGTGGCACAGGTTGCGTCTCAGAGCTTTCTGGTTGAATGAAGTGGGTTCTGGTGACCACATTCTTAATTTCCCTTAATTTCCCTTGCTGTTCCTCTGACCTGTGTCATATGCCACAGTCAACTTCTGTCAGCCATGTCTTTCTAAATACACCTTCAAATGATTGTTGCATCTTTGAATGGTTTTATACCACAAATAAGGGCAGAGATCCTGTTAATGTACTTGTTATGTTATATGCAAAAATAACTGTTACAGCTTTTAGAAGCTGACTGAGTTGGTCTATGTAAGTCAAAAACTTTTGACTATGACATGTTGTCTATCTCTTGTACCTACCGCTGGCTTCTTTTAAACCTAAGCTTTCAATGTTTGCTTTGGAGTTGGAGCTGTCCCTTCAAATGACGATATCCCTGGGGGATAGTATGCTCCCCCGCCATTGACAAGGCTTGGGCACAGGCCAAGGACACAAGACAGAGTCCCTCCACTGAGGGCTGTTGGACCTTTTCAAATCTGAGAAATAGTTACTCTAGACTCATCTTGTTGATTAGGGCCATTCTTGTATGTTTGAAAGAAAAGCTTTCTTTTCTTTTCTTTTCTTTTCTTTTCTTTCTTTCTTTCTTTCTTTCTTTCTTTCTTTCTTTCTTTCTTTCTTTCTTTCTTTCTTTCTTTCTTTCTTTCTTCCTTCCTTCCTTCCTTCCTTCCTTCCTTCCTTCCTTCCTTCCTTTCTTTCTTTCTTTTTTTTCTTCCTAAATAACATATGTCCTTGATATGCCTATAGGACATATGAGAGTAAGTAGATCATGTGCAGGAGTAATATGTACCAGTCTGTTTCTTTGTGCTCCAAAATGAAGTAAGTATTTTGAATGCAACTAATTCTGTGAAGAGATGTGTGTCCAGAAGATCTGTGATGATCTAGTAATCTTAAGTTAATATATTTATAGGTATTTTACTTTGTACCTCTTGACACATAAGAGGTTGATTGATATGATACTGATATCAATTGATGTTGATATGATTCTTGATTCCCGATACAAAATGATTCCCAGTATTTTCATAATAAGGTATGTGACTTTGAACCTAAACCTGAAAGTTGTTGTAGAAATTTCTTTAAACCAAACTAAACATTCAGATCTAGGATTTTAATTCATAAATAAATTTTCTTAGATTTATGTGTTTATTTGTTTGAAAGAGTTACATAAATAGAGCAAGACCTTCCACCTGCTCTGCAAATGCTTGTAATGACTAGTGCTAGGTCATACTGAAGCCAGGAGCTTGGAATTCCATCCATGACTGCCGCATGAGTGGCAGGGCTCAAAACTGGGAGTGGGCCCAGCCCACGTCAGGAGCCAGGATGCTGGCAGGAACCCAAGAACTCGGGCCATCATCTGCTGCCTCCGGTCGTTTAGCACAAAGCTCAGTCAGAGGCAGGGGCAGGATGTAATCCCAAGGACACCTGCCCATGGATCCAGTTTTTTAAATTTTATATTATTCGAGTCTTGGGACCAGCTTGGCAGTATATCAGACTGATCCTCTGCCTGCAGTACTGGCATGCTTGTTCACACCCCAGCTACTTCACTTCTGATCCACCTACCTGCTTATGGCCTGGAAAAGAAGCAGAGCGAGGCTCAAGTCCTTGGGCCCCTGCATCCACGTGAGAGACCCAGAAGATGCTTCTGGTTTCCAGCTGGTTCATCTCTGGGTGTTGCAGTCATTTGGGGAGTGAACCAGCTAATGCAAGATTCTCCCTCCCTCTGTCTCTTCTTCTCTCTATAACATATATCTTTCAATTAAAAATAAATAAATCTTTAAAATACATATTTGAATCCTCTCCCTGTCTACCTTGCCTTTGGCATTTTAGCTGTCTTCTTCAGCTTCTTCACCTTTGCCAGATCACTGATGAATGTTTTGGGTAGGACAGATTCAGTAAAAAGCCCTAAGGCGTGAGCATATGGACCTCTACCCAGGTGAGTCTTAATGCTTTGACTGACAACTAGCATGCCACCTAGTTGTCCTACTCTAGCCAGTGTTTCTGTACCTCACAGCTGCATCAAATTGTCCTTGTGCAGCCAAAGTATGTCTCATCTACTCAGAGATAATTAATCTCTGCAGACAAAGTCTCCCAAACTATCAAAGAACATTTGGAAAAAAAACAATGAAATTTAATTCATTTGCTGCAGCTGGCTCAGTGAGAACCCATGCTGGCTTCTGATTTATAATCATATGCAAGGCTTCATAAATTAGTGCTCAAATTGAAATCAACACCAGTTATATAAGAATTCAGGTTGGATTATAAGCTTTCAATAAATACCTTCCTAGCCTTACCTTTGCTTGAGGCGTATTGAGCAAGTTACCTCTGCGTGATCAGTAATAATGTGAAGTTGAGGATTATAG